GCCATTTGCGGCAACACAAACAATTTAACTTGTACAGAACTCAAATTATTCAAAGCAGCTTCTCTTTGTGAAGAACTTAGGCTTAAAAACATAGCATATGCTTAAATTAAATAATTCCCAGCAAGAAACAGAAGTTAAGTACATCATATTAAAACGATTTTGGAGCCTCACCACGTCGTTACATTCTATGTCGCTACGCCCAGTCATGCTCTATCTAACTACTGTGCATATTAACAAATAGCCAAATTCTCTATTGCCAAATGCTCCACCATAATACTGTTCATATATTTTTTTTGCTGCATAGTTACAAGTGATATAGTGTACAAGGATGACTATTTCCCAACTCTCGTTCCATCAGTCCGATCCCATAGAAATCCATAGGTGCTGCACGGTAATGTCTCCATTATGTTTTTGTATGGAATAGCATAAATACAGCTACTTGAGGTATGTAACAGCTGAATGGATAGATGATGCCAGTCACTTTTCTGCGTGTAACTTGTGTTGCTTTTCTAGACAGAGAGGTTCTTCTTTATTATGTTGCATACTGTTGCCTGAGGCACTTGTACGTGTTTTTCAACTGACATTTTTGTTTGTGGATTCTTACCTGTTATAAAACGCCGCTCTTTACTTACCACGGTTGGTGTACGACTATTATAGGTCTCTTTTTGGATGGTCCTGGGTCCTCAAGCTCCTCCACATTCCTTTATTTTCCAATGTTATTGTACAAAGGGTATCCCGTCTTATAAATTTTAAATCCCTTATGTGAACAAATATTAATGATCCGAATTTACGAATCTTTTGTGTCGGAAAGGTCTGTCACATACCCTTTCCAAAACCATTAAACTTTCATTACCATCGCACCACCTCATTCGCCAAATAATTTCAAAATGTAGTACTGATACATTCATTCCTACCATTCCGAATCTTTTGTGTCGGAAAGGTCTGTCATATACCCTTTCCAAAACTATTAAACTTTCATTACCATCGCACTACCTCAGTCGCCAAATAATTTCAAAATGTAGTACTGATACATTCATTCCTACCATGACTTTATATCGGCTGCGGTTGTCACGTGACTTGCAGATTTGCATATCAAAATCAAAAATCGTTTTGATATAAATACCTAACATTCTTTAACTCGTGAAGATTTTAACGTATATGATAGCGTTCTATCTCATCAGATTTATATAAAATACGTACTAGTAGCTACAAAAAAAATTCCTCCGGTGGGTCAGCGGTAAGTTTATAGAGTTACAATGCTAAATTCGGATTTCGATTCCCAATGCTTATGCAGAGCTATGAAATTCTTTGTTGCTCAAATTCATAAGTTTTACTATTAATTTATGGAGGTAACGAACAAGCGGGATTCTTCAGAACGTCATAGCTATAAATTTCCAGTTAAAACTTTTGAAATTACTTAGCGCTGTTTACGAGTAAACAAAACTATCTTGATGCATGTTATTAAAGGATTGCACAACAAACTGAATATCTTTTCCAATTATAGTCAATTGTGTCTTCGATGTCAGCGAACCACCACCATTGGTCAAACGCTCATGAAATCAGACTACTAAGATATAACAGCCTTCGTGATAGGTCGGAATCAGACTGCTGAGATATAACGGCCTATGTGATAGGTCGGTTTTCTTTTTTTATTCATTTTAAAAACACATCTTCTTTCCACCGATTTTGTAATGATGAGATTACTTCTTTCTATGTTTTTCTCTTGTAGGTTCTCCAATGGGTAAGAAGTAAGTTTTCGGACTTATAAAGCTAAAACTCGGTGTTAGATTTCCCCGAGGGACAGAGGGCAGATAGACTATTTGCAACTTTGCGATAGAAAAAAAATGCTTTTTAAATAAGATGAAAAATTAGATTCGATATGTTGAAACTGGTTTCACATTTTCTGACTTTCAAATGTTTTTCTGGCTGTTATTTTTAAGAGGTTTGAGGAGGAAATGTTCGAAGGTAAAAAAACAACTCAATCGCTTTCAAAATGCTATTAGACATCAACAATAAATTATACATGATATTTTTGGTAGAAATATCCAAATATCATATACTTCTGTATATGATATTTGAGAACCTTCTCAATGCAAGGCCCATAAGAATCTATTAAACCATAGACAATTGAAATATTAGTTCCATAACCTATACCAAATAATCTTCCAAAGGGATTGAAACTGAACCAGAGCTATTGAGAATGCAAATAATATATCAAACTTTTTCCAACCAGCCTCCCAGTGGCACAGCGGTATGTCTGAGAACTTACAACGCTAGAAACCGGGTTTTGATACCCGTGGTGGGCAGAGCACAGATAGCCCATTGTGTAGCTTTGTGCATAATTAAATTACAATTACAATTACAATTTTCCAACCAACATAAACTTTGTATTATTTCCAGACTGAGTTCACCTTACAGGTAATTGTATTTCTACATTTCATTTCGATTTATAAACTTATACAGTTTTACTCCTTTGCTTCTTTTTTTTTTCAAAAATATACAGATTTGAACTTCCAAGTTCCGAATCTTTCCAGTTGTACAACATTCCTTTGGTCCACCACATTCCATTCCTCTGGATATCACAGCCATCTTTAATTTACCTTATTCCATTTTCCCCAGGAACATGGCACACCTTTGCTCCGTTACGTTTCCTTTTTCCGATTATAACATAATAACTTTATGAAGTTTTATTCCATTTTTCTCAGTAACACACCATATCTTTGCACTTCCTCTTTTCACAACTTCTAGTTACAGCATATCTTTGCACTTCCTCTTTCCACACGCCCTAGTGACACACCATATCTTTGCACACCCTCTTTTCAGAACTCCTAGTTACAGCATATCTTTGCACTCCCTCTTTTCACAACTTCTAGTTACAGCATATCTTTGCACTTCCTATTTCCACACCCCCTAGTAACACACCATATCTTTACACTTCCTCTTTCCACACACCTAGTTACAGGACGCAACTTTGCGTTCCTTCTTTCTTGCCAGAATAAGTACTTGGTCTACCATGTAATTTTTTTCCAAAAACACTGCAACCTTGCTCCACTATGTTCCATTTCTCCAAATATCTCTGCAAATCCTTGCTACACCATATTCCATTTCTCCAAATATCACTGCAAATCCTTGCTACACCATATTCCATTTCTCCCAGTAACACAACAAATCCTTGCTCCACCATATTCCATTTCTCCAAATATCACTGCAAATCCTTGCTCCACCATATTCCATTTCTCCAAATAACACTACAACTCCTCATTCCACCATATTCCATTTCTTCAAATAACACTACAAATCCTTGCTCCACCATATTCCATTTCTCCAAATAACACTACAAATCCTCATTCCACCATATTCCATTTATCCAAATAACACTACAAATCCTCATTCCACCATATTCCATTTCTCCAAATAACACTACAAATCCTTGCAACATTATGTACTATTTCTCCCAGTAACACAACAAATCCTCATTCCACCATATTCCATTTCTCCCAATAACACTGCAACTCCTTGCCCCACCATGTTCCATTTCTCCCAGTAACACAACAAATCATTGATCCACTATTCTCCAATCCTCACATTCTTCATAAAAAAACAACAACACAACTTACATAACCCCAATCTACTTCTTTAAGTCAGACGCAGCATAATTTCATTCTGTCAGTTTTTCCAGTTCTTCCAGTAACACGGTACAAAATCTCCAAGTTGGATTAATATACTAAAAGCCTCTTGACAAATTGAACATCCTGGTCGCAGGAAATATTGTGTTTTTTGTTGTTTATTTCGCTTATGGAAGGCATTATAATGCTTTAGTATATTATGTACTCAATTTTTCTTCCACATGAGAAATATTTTAAAAGTTGCGAAGCATTAGATGTTTGTTTTTTGGATTTCGCGCAAAGCTACACGAGGGCTATCTGCGCTAGCCGTCCCTAATTTAGTAGTGTAAGACTAGAGTGAAGGCAGCTAGTCATCACCACCCACCGCCAACTCTTGAGCTACTCTTTTATCAACGAATAGTGGGATTGACCGTCACATTATAACACCCCCACGGCTGAAAGGGCGAGCATATTTGGTGGGACGGGGATTCGAACCCGCGACCCTCAGATTGCGAGTCGAGCGCCCTAACCACCTAGCCATGCTGGGCCGCAAAGCATTAGAAATCAATCACATATTGGAATATTGACTTCTAATGTTTCGTCAAGTTTCAACCATAACTCTTACAGCATTGTATTGCATGTATAAATAGCGTTTCAGAGTATCGTTTGTCTTTTCTCATCGTCCAGTCTAACTGGCGAATTCTGTTATTGAACGAAAGGCCTATTGGGCAGTGACCTGTGTGGTACAAAAGATTTATCTGAAATGCTAGTTTTACAAGCCTTTGATTTTAAGTCCGAAATGGACTGATTTGTCACGGAAAAAGTTTTCATACCTAGAGTTGTTCATACTCTGATCTACAATTGGTAACTAGTCATGGAACGATACGTATTGCATGAATCACACCAACGTTTACATTCCTGGAACCAAAATTTAAGACGCGGCTGAGTCCAAGGTTAGAAGAAGGAGCAAGCTGGAGGCTTGATTTATTGTTAATGATATTGTTTAAATGTCGTTACGTGGGTTGGTATATATATATATATAGTCTGTTGTGTCGTGAAGACTCACCTAGTATGTTTATTAATCCCTGATTCTGCTAAATTTGACAACTCTTAGAGGTTATTCCGAGTGTTCTCTTCGAAAAGACGAAGCAGTTGCCGCTTTTGAGAGAATCGATTTCAGGCCGTAGAACTTCTCATCGGATTCTTTTCTTTTTTACTAGAGTACCCTGTTTGTCAAACTACCGATTGCTACGCTCGATACAAGCCATGTATCGCAAGCCTTAGCGCCGCGCTGTGACGTCATACACGTGCCTTAGAAGAGAGGCTCTCGTGGGTCACCCACACTAGTTGCCGCCATCATTTCGTTACTGCCACCTGCAGGAAGCGGACGTTCTGATACAGGATAAGCTTTTCAAGAACTTAATGTTTCAATTACTGTTAAAAACTCGTATTTCACTATTTCCTGAATTAAGAAAAAGGAACCGGACAAAATTGTCCAGCGAACTAAGTGCTAAATCAAACTGTATTTCGTCTGTCGCCAAAATTACACAATTACTCCTGGAGACATCCCGACGTTACTTTTTTTAAACAAGGAACCGAGATGGTGATGAAAGTAAGTCATTGATTAGCTAACTTACAAAACATGTTTTTGACACATATTAAGTAGATTTATAAATATATGTTTATTAAAAGAAGTTCATAACTAGGAATCGCGCTGATCATTGATTAATAAAGAGTTATCAAGTTAATAAATTCTAAATAGCTATCTAAAGTGCATTGTTACCAACCAGGCAACAACGATGTTGTTAACATTTTGTTATTTTAAACTTCCTTCAAAATAATATGGTAATATCATATTATCTCAGCAAATCGAATCATAGGACAAAATATTGTAATTATTAGTTCAAGGGTAAGTGCCCCAGTAGTACAGCAGTATGTCTGCGGTCTTAGAACGCTAGAACCCGGGTTTCGATACCCGTGGTGGACAGAGCACAGATAGCCCATTTTGTAGCTTTGTGTTTAACTTCAAGGGTAAGTAACTAGTTAATCAGAATATATTTTACAATGAATCCGTTCCAAAGGTCCCCAGGTGTATAAAAAACAAAACAACAAGTATTTCGTACCCGGGGAAGTATATTAAGGTCAGATCAAGTTGTTGCAACAAACAGAAATATCACACGTTGTTTGTTTGTTTGTTATGGATTTCGCGCAAAACTACACGAGGGCTATCCGCACTAGTCGTCCCTAATTTAGCAGTGTAAGACTAGAGGGAAGGCAGCTAGTCATCACCACACACACCGCCAACTCTTGGGCTACTCTTTTTACCAACGAATAGTGGGATTGACCGTCACATTATAACGCCCCCACGGCTGAAAAGGCGAGCATGTTTGGTGTGACGGGGATTCGAACCCGCGACCCACAGATTGCGAGTTGAGCACCCTAACCACCCGCACGTTAAGTATAACTTATATCAAATAAGGCATGTTTTAGAATTTTCATGCATAGCTACACAAGAGGTTTTTGCGTATAGCCGTTCTTACTTGTTCTCCGATAAGACAGCGGTAAGTCTTCGGATTTACAACGCTAAATTCAGGGGTTCGATTCTTCTCGATGGACACGACAGATAACTCGATGTGGCTTTGCTATAAGAAAACACACACACACACCCATCCTTACTTATGAGCTGATAGACAACAGCACCCACCGCCAACTCTTGGGCTACTCTTGTCTGATCGAATAGAGGGATTTGATCGTCAGTGTTATATTACACTCACGATCCCAAAGTTCGTAGCATATTTTTGTGGCAACGCGAACCATAAGCCCTTGAATATACAGTCTTGGTACGCAAATTGTTAGGGAAAAAACACAATAAAACAATATCGATAAACCAACCTCGACGCTCACTATAAGCTGTATGTTAGTTTTTAGTGAGTTGATCGTGCGAAACTGCGATTAGTAGTTGTTATCCGTGCTTCAGTATTTCGTTCTGCAAATTAAATCAATAAGTTAGTGCTAATATTAAACGAAAAAACGTGACGAAATGATAAACGTGAGAGAAGAAAAAAACAAACACACTAAACTCAGGTGTCATTTAATAAACAGGTATTTTTTTATACTCCTTTTTGCCCAAATTCATGAGAATAAAACTTGAGTTGAAACTACAACCAATCTAATTCGTTCATGGGGACATGGGTTTGAATCCCATTTGGTATGAAGATGATTTTTAAAGTATTTTTTATCTAATAAGTGGTATAAGTATATTAAACCTGAACCGCACCAATTAAATTAGCTAAACTGTAACGTCATAAATCTCCTAATTTTGTACTGCTGGCCAAAAGAAGGGAAGTAAGTCAACAATACCATCCGCCACAAGGGGCTTTACTTGGATCCTGGAACCGAATAACGCGATTAGCTGTCACTGTCATAAACGCAACCGCAATTGACAGTATGGAAGTTGTTCGGGTGTCATCACTCCTCGAACCTTGGATCTTTTTATCTTCATGCCGGCACGTTAACCACCGGGTCACGCCAGAACCGTAATATATATATATATATAAAGATTTATTTTTTTAGTTATTAAGACCAATTACTAAAACTATTTGTAAATACATTCATATATCGTAGTAGTGGCAGAACCGTGGCAGTTAATAAAAATCATAACTTTAGCATTACTAGGAGTTTTATTTTCGTTTCTGATTGTTAACTTCGTTTAGCCCTAAATTTAGTAACAGTATATTTTAATGTATTGGAACCTGCTGCCGTTTCGCCTGACTGTAAAACTAGAGGGTGTCACGTGCATTGAACCTTGAAAGCTAATCAAGGGTTATTCGATGACGAGGAACCCACTTTGAGATTAATAATGGCTGGAGACGGCTTAAATGGGTAATGAAGAAAAACTTTAATATAAGTTTAACATAACAGCAAATGTACAACGTTTCGACAAGGTTTTGTCATCATCAGGTACGATGACGTTACTACGTTGTCTGAATATGGTTGCCAACACTTTTACAATGTTTACTGACAAAGAGTGACTAATTCACTACGCTGCCTTTATATCCGAAAATCTTTTTAATGTTTCCAGTAAAATAACACACAGTATTAATACGGATCCCGGTGTTTGTGTTGTTTATTGTTCTCACCTGACGATGCTAGGTAAACCTAGAGAAATGTAGTATGTGTGTGTGTGTGTTATTTATTGTTCTCACTTGACGATGCTAGGTAAACCTAGAGAAATATAGTGTGTGTGTGTGTGTGTTGTTTATTGTTCTCACTTGACGATGCTAGGTAAACCTAGAGAAATATAGTGTGTGTGTGTGTGTTGTTTATTGTCTTCACTTGACGATGCTAGGTAAACCTAGAGAAATGTAGTGTGTGTGTGGTTTATTGTCCTCACTTGACGATGCTAGGTAAACCTAGAGAAATGTAGTGTGTGTGTGTGTGTTGTTTATTGTCCTCACTTGACGATGCTAGGTAAACCTAGAGAAATGTAATGCGTGTGTGTGTATTGTTTATTGTCCTCACTTATGCTAGGTAAACCTAGAGAAATGTAGTGTGTGTGTTGTTTATTGTTCTCACCTGACGATTCTAGGTAAACCTAGAAAAATGTAGTTTTTGTTTTGAAAAATAAAAAGGTGTTAAAAATATTATACTTGTCTTATTCGTAAACAAAACTTTAATATATTACACTGCCTTAAATATTAAACACATTTTTTACAAATCGTCTATGTATTACGTTGTCTTGAATATCGGACAGTTTTTGTTTTGTTTTACAAAGTTTGCCGAAAAACCTACAGTAGATATATTGGATTGACTTTAATATCGAGCAGATATTGCAAAGTTTCCAGAAAAACAAAGAACAATGTATTACTCTTTGATAGATTGTACTACAATGTATTACATTGCCTTAAATATCAAACAATTTTTACATTTCCAAAATAATGCTCATTATTTTACTTCAAAATGGTTTGTACAGAATAGCTGAACGTCACACTTTCGGGCTTTCACACAAAATTAATTCGGCATCTCGAATCTTCGAGATATCTCACCACGCTTCCAAGAAAACAAAGAACAATGTTGCCTTAGATATCGAGCATCTTGTTTTACAAAGTTTTCAGGAAAACTTTTTGTTTTTGGAATTTCGCGCAAAGCTATTCGAGGGTGCGCTACCCGTCCCTACTTTAGAACTGGTAGACTAGAAATAAGGCAGCTGGTCAACACTCCCCACCTTCAGCTCTTGGGTTACTCTTTTACCAACGAAAAATGGGATTGATCGTCACATTATAATGCCTCCACGGCTGAAAGCTCCGTGCTCTTAACTGTAAAACTATAATGTTTCATCTGTCTTCCATAAGCCCCGTGTTCTTAACTATAATTTTCACCTGTCTTCCATAACCCCTGTGTTCTTCTTAACTATAAAGTGTCGTCTGTCTTCCATAAGCCCGTGTTCTTCTTAACTGTAATGTTTCACGTCTTCAATAAGCCATGTGTTCTTCTTAACTGTAATGTTTCATCCGTCTTTAATAAGCCCTGTGTTTTCCTTAACTATAATGTTTCATCTGTCTTCCATAAGCCCCGTGTTCTTCTTAACTGTAATGTCTCATCTGTCTTCCATAAACCCCGTGTTTTCTTTATGTATAATGTTTCATCTGTCTTCCATAAGCCAAGTGTTTTCTTAACCTGTAATGTTTTATCTGTCTTCCATAAGCCAAGTGTTTTCTTAACCTGTAATGTTTTATCTGTCTTCCATAAGCCAAGTGTTTTCTTAACCTGTAATGTTTTATCCGTCTTCCATAAGCCAAGTGTTTTCTTAACCTGTAATGTTTTATCCGTCTTCCATAAGCCAGGTGTTTTCTTAACCTGTAATGTTTTATCTGTCTTCCATAAGCCAAGTGTTTTCTTAACCTGTAATGTTTATCTGTCTTCCATAAGCCAAGTGTTTTCTTAACCTGTAATGTTTTATCTACTTTCCATACTCATCCTGTTATCCTTAATTAGATATGAGCGTGAACACGCTCCAAACATTCAGCATTGAAGGCGTTATAGTTTTTACAGCCAACCCGCTATTCGGATAAGAGAAGCATAGGCGGCGGGTGCTGCTGACTGGTTACCCTTCCTTTGGCCAGCAGCTCTAAGTTAGGACGGCGATGTCTAAACATAACGGTTTCTGTACCTTGCCGTTCATTTCACGTGCCCCAGAAGGTACAGTTCTGGCTGATAATACCAAAGTACTAATCCTTAATTTACGTTTCACTGTACTTAGAATGCTAAATGCAAAATTCAACACTATGTAAATGAGTGTACACAAATGACAAACGACAGCACGCGACAGGCCGTCTGCCATAAAACTTTGTAATACGACTACACGTGTCGCCTGTGGACTAACACAACAAGACTCCATATTCATAAGTATTTAGTTCTGAGACACGTAAAGTCCAGGAGTTTTGTTTTATAGCGTATGAAGACTGTGGTCTGTGCCAGGAAAGTAATTGTTATTTATGTAAATAACCACCTGGAATAAAGTCGTTCTTTGTTGCTGTAATTTAGAAGACGATTATTCAGAAAACATTTAAGGGAAATATGTATGAATTTGGCTACTAGTAACAAGACTATTTA